CTATGCATGTATTCTACAACTGATAAAATTTGAGCAGAATAATATTGCGCACAATTAACATCAAATGATCCAAGCTAAAAAAATTTTTAATTTTATTATCAATAATTATTTATTCCACAAAGTCATCAATGAACAATTGATAAAAATAGCTTTTTATTACAAACCTTTTTTATTAAAGTTAAAAGTTCGCCATTTTTAGCATGATCCAATACGAAATCTTTTTTTTTTGCAAATCAAATAATAACAACAATAATAATCGAATAAATTAAGAAATTTTTTTTGTGGTATGAATGAATCGAGAAATTGAAGAAAAAAGAAGAAAATGTCAATTTTTTAAATATCTTTTAAAAGAAAAGGATACATAAACTATTATTATCTTGAAACGTATAATATAAACGAACAATCCCAGGATGATTTAATATATTTAAAGTGTTTTTCTCAATGTGGACATATTTAACTTTTTTTTCTTTGATAATGTGTTTTTTGTCAAGAATTTTTATTGCGTATGCGCGTCCTGATGAACGATCTTTTGCAAATACAACCTAAATTTTAAATTAAAGACAAAGGATTTTTACAAATTATCGAAATTTTGAGAATTTGAAAAATTTTAAAATAAAAATTTCTTCACATACAGTGGAGTAAGAGCCTTCACCCAGAGTTCTACCAAACTCAAAATCTTTAACACCTTTTTTTCTTATAGATGTATTAGTTGAAGTTGTTGATTGTGCATAATGTTGTTGAGAGTGGCCGTTTTCTCTATTTGAACTGTTAGCAGTTGAATGAGAGCCAATTGAATTATTAGAAGTCATTTTGAAAGAAATTATTGTTTGTAATTTTTGTTGAAAAAAAAATTTTATTTATTTTGGATTTAAAAATTGTTCATGTGTTACATTTTGACAAACAAAATTCAAAAGTTGTGCGATGTGTGCTGCAGATCAAGAAAACATTTGAAGAAAAAAAAGTAATTTGAAGTTCACTATTTAAATTAACCTCTTGTTGTTGTTGTTGTTATTGTTGCTATTGTTATTACTATTGGTGGTTATGTGACAGTAATAATAATATAGATAATTGTATAATTAATTAAATAATTCGTTTAAAATTTCACGAATCCCCAAATAAATAGATAATCGAATAATCTGACTTTTTAGAATTTACTGCATTTTTTATATGGTGCTCTCTTGTTTTGTCTTTTTTTTTATATATATACAATAACAATAAAAAAGATTTTGACGAACAATAATTGATTGATGTAACATGTCATCCACATGATCAATAGATATACCTCAATAAACACAATTTAGTTAGTATTGGATTGTTTATTACTATGTCGAATGTTGAATTAATAATTTTTCTATCAATTGTTTATGTGGATTTTGTTTTTTTTTTCTCACAAGATTATGAATTTAAAGGATTATATAACGTTAAATGCATAAAAATTAGAAAATGATCTGCATGGGAAAAATATTTTTTAAAATGAAAATTTTGATATTTATTCTTCGTACTTTACAAATAAGTTACTAAAATGATTTTTCTTCCAATATAATAGAATCTACTCGAAAAGACAAATTCTAGTAAGTAGTACTTGCCCTAGTATACTTTACAAGTAGAAAAGTTCTCCTCAAGAGGAGTTCATGAAATGATTTCTTTACAGTAGATTAATATTAATCTGCTCGAAAAGAAAGTCTTTGGTAAATGCATAAAAAATAAGGAGCGTTTATAATATATTAATATACTCCTAATACTAATATTTTTTATTAGTGAAACGGATCACCACTGTCATTGTCACAAACAAATTTGACTACCAAAGTTCTTAATTTTTCAGTCCAATATAATCACTATTTTTTTAAATGATTATTGCGACGACAAAGGAATTAATATCTTGTTAAAAGGTTCTTTTTAAAAAAATTTGTAAAGTCAAAAGCAGTTTTCAAATTACATATAACCTACTGTATATTCATAAAATATAATATTAAATCTTGAAATAATTTTGTTTTACCGCCTTTGCCAACAAGGAGTTCATTCACAAGGTAAATGGCTTTGATTGTATGTAAATTTAGAAACATTCATTAAAAAACATTCTAATTTAAAAATACAGAGTATTTCCGGTGCATTAGTATTGACCATCAACTAGGCTAGTTGAAGGATGATTGTAGTAGGAAATAATAACAAGATTAATATATCTTTCTATTTTACATATTAATTTTCTTCGTGGAAATTATATCAAACCTTCTTTTTGCTCTAGGAATAAAAATTAGAATTCCCTGTTTTTTTACTTGGTATTTTTACAAATAATTAATTCATTATTAAAATTAGATGTATTAACATTACAATCTATTTTTAAATAGGGAAACATGAGAAGGAGCAGGAAAATATTTGTTATGATAATAATAACCTATTATTTTATTCTTGGGGTGACATTGTCAATTTTTGTTAAAGAAATCAAGCGGAAGGAGAATGTTATATATATTAAATATTTTCTAGTGGCCAGATAATAGTTAATTGTTGAACTTATTTTACCTTCTTGTTATCCACTTCACCCACCTTCAATAAAATAAATTTTATCTTTGATATTATTATTATTATATTAATATACGATACGATGCTTTAATGATCGGGCGGCCAAAAAAATTATCCATTGGTAGGTTAAAAAAAACCTTGAATTATAATAAAAGCAAGCATACAAACATACAGAAATAAAGTTTATATATAAATCGTTATAATATCTGTAAACTTAAATCTATGATTCATTTAATTTATATAATGTTTTGATGTAATTTTTGATGTTTTCATAATTCTATGCTTAAATTAAAAAGTGTAAACATGTAAGGTCTGAAGATTTCAAAATTTAATAAACAAAATTAATATTCGTAATTATTGCAGAATTCAATGACATAAACACTTGGTTTTAGACAAAAAACATACATTTACTCAAAAAGAAAAAAAGAAAAACACGATACTCGTAGCAGGATAAAAGTAATAGAGTTAGAGGTTTACTCGATACTCGAATAATTATTTGGATATTCGACTAATTACTATTTGGATTTGGAATATTTATGACTGTCCGAAATATTTCGTATACCTTGCACTAAAATTCCAAACGTGAATTGAATGTTAAGAAAAAAAATTTTTTTTTAGCCAGCTCATATCATTAATCTAGCTTTGGTGATGCAATTATAATGTATCTTTTGCATAAACAAATACATTTATCAAGAATAAATTCACGGATCAATTTTATGCACAATATACTTGATAGTATTATGAATTTCTCGCACTATTACTCATTGATATTCATATCTAGAAAAAGGAAGCCAGGTATGACTTTGAGCATGAAATGTGAGTAGGCAATATTTGAGAGAAAGACAATAGTCATTCTCTGGCTATGTAAGTAATTATTCGCAACTATTTTTCTTTTCCAACTCAACATGAGGAAAAGTAGAAAAGATCCCGTAGATTACACGTACATAAATATATGCTAACTCAACGCTAATTAAAATAATTAATTTAATAACATAATAATTTGCAATAAAAATAACTGATAAAATTAACAACTTATTAAATCATAAAAGTAAATTATCTTGACGTGTATAAAGATCAATTGCGCTATTAACGCCTCACACAATGCCATCAATAGAAATTGCAACATTCTTGAGCATGCTGTCAAATTGTTGCCAACCTTTATTGACATATTGAAAAATTCGATCATTATAATTGACGCCAACCACTAATTTTTCACTACTGGTGTAAACTTGCTTGAACTTTCCAGGAATTTGAACCTATTTTTTAAAACAATAACTAAATATAAATACTAAGGTCAAATTTAAAATGGTACTGACCAGTTGACACCGTCCATTTAAAGATATATTGGTTATTATTAACGCCCCAAATGGTCCCATCAGAGGCTACTGACACATTGGACAACCCATCAGGAACTTCAACCCATCTACCATTATTAATATTACTGCCAGTTCGGTAAAAGATCTTACCTATATGATTGACACCCCAGATGTGATCTTTATTGACAACTGTAAAAAATAAATAAATAATGTAGCCAAATTTATGATTTTTGACAGCTGTAAAGTAAAGCTTACAAAAATTACCTGATATTTAGACTAAAGAACTCTCAACCTGCGTCCTATAATATACAGCAAAATCAAAAGTTAACAGAAAACAAACCAAGACTAAGAAAGATGGATGGCAAGAGAAATGGTTACCTACCATTCCATGCAAAAATGTTATCTTCATCATTATAGCCCAAATAGTTCCATCAACACCAACACCAACACCAACACCAACATTTACAGCTGAGTCAACAGCTAGTTCCCAATGTCAATTGTAGAATTGAAAAATCTATAGAATTAAAGGAAAAATGAGTATTCATGTCAAGAATGTATCACGCAAATAGAAGAGAAGTATATTACCTTTTTTGCAGAATTTACACCCCATATGTTATTGACTTTACCAACTACCAGTCGACCAAGATTGCCTCCAATTTGTTTCCAACCCATGATATTTAGTTTTTAATGATTTACAGAATGGAATCACTGGATTAAAGCTCCGAGTAGTTCGGTTTCAGATTCTAAAAAGTCAAACCAAAAAATTTTGGTTCGGTTCGGTTCGGTTTGAACCGAACTGTTCAGAGCTTAGGCTAAAAACTACTTGGCAGTTCCTGGTATTCTAATTTTTGCACTCTGCTTATTTAGAACCAAACCCACTAATTTCTAATTTAATAACAGCCAGTGAATGAGTTTTTTCTGGAGGCACAGACTTAATTATTCAAGACGTTGTATTTTAGAACCTGAAATAATAAGAGTTTAAAAATTGCGGAGATGATGAATTTTTCATCGAAAGCTCATTTCGTCACAAAAAAAAATTTCATTAAACAAATTTCTCCTCACACTTACCACGCACTCCGCTTTCCTCACATAATTTCTTAACTAACTCCCCACACTCCTCACATCTAACTCGTTCGGTCTCTGGCTCGAGGATGAAATAATTTTCGA